AAAAAAAAAAAAAAGAATTCTAACTTCACGTAATGAAATTTGTAAGGAAAATTAACATTCTCTATACTTTTTCTTTTAACCTCAAAAATAATTTACCATATACATAATATGTTGCTAGCACACCGCTACACTCTGGGAATACTACAACAGGCAAGAAAGACACAATCCTGTTAGCATGGAGCTTAACAAACCAGGAGGAAAAACAAACATTAAACAAATTACTTAATTTAATAATTAATTAGAATTGTGAGAAATGCTATAAAAACAGAATGATTTTCTTTTTAGTTCCTTTTCGGTCTCCATATTTCATGACTTCGTGGTATGACAAGATTACAGGACACTAAGGGGGATCTGCCTTCCAGAAGAACAATCAACCTTTAGGCCCTAATGACAACACCATGGTGTTAAACAGCTTCCTCCCACTAGCTCTGTGTTGCTCTCCTCTAGGACTCTAAGAATAGCTCTCCTCAATGCTGCAACCTCCCCCATTAATGTGCGACCTGAGCCGCTGAACCAATCATCCTACCATAGAAATTAACACCTTGTCTAGGCAACTTAGCCCCTTTCTCCTTTGTTCAACTCCTCTCGATCAACACAGTCCTTCAGAATTTTCCCTGTTTGGCTGACTCACCAGTAAGCACCACCTCAGTAAAGATAGCCAGGCCCAGAAAGCCTGTAGTCCCTCTTTGGGCCAGCTGAGCTTAGTGCCAGAGCCAGAGCAGTGGCTTGGGTGAGGGCTAAACTACTGGTCTCACCAAGTAGCCACTAATGAGCTGTCCCTTCTGAAAGAAGAATCTGGACATTGCATCCCAAACTATACAAAAGAACTATAATAGGGATCAATGTTTGAACAAAGATCTCTATATCTAAGTTATGAACAACTTCATGGCATCCCATGCTGACAATGAAATGAAATGAAAACTTGATTACTCAAGTCTCTCAAGAGAGTGGGTCATTCACAATGTAAATAAACAAGACAGTAAGCCAAATAAGAAGGATCCAGAGTAGGAATTATGCAAAATTCCAAGAGTTATTTTAGGCCAAAAATTAATCTGATTCGTGAGCCAAGAAATTCTAATTTTTAACAAAATTTAGTAACTATTTTAAGACAGAATCACGATGAAATGTTCAAAAGCAGTATTTGACTTTTCAATTTAGAAGATTTTTTTAACGTTGTTTAAAAGCTTTTATTTATTTATTTTTTTAATTTAGAAGATTTAAATAGTAAAATGTATTAAGCTGGTCAGAAGCAAGAATCCCTACCGTCTACTTAAAACTGAAAAATATCTTTCCTTAAACTTTTTTCATTTGTGCAATTTGTGCAATACTGACGATCAGCCCCTGAGCACTAATAAACTAAACACTTTGAAAATCTACTTCTCTAATCCCCAGTGCTAGCCTATACTCCAGTGACTGAAACTGTTTGGGTGCATAAGAATGTGTGAGATATATGAAAAGGGCCTCAAGGATAGCTTGCAATTAGAAAAATTCTTGTTATAAGGAGAAGCATACAAGTTATAAAAAAACTAAGTAACAACAACAAAATCTAGAAGCTTACCAATTGACCAACTGACCTAACAATCTCTTAAGCAACCCGAACAACCTAGAACAATTTGTACATTCTGGCTACTTAAAGCTTTCAAACTGTTAGTTCCAAAGAAACCTAATCTACTTTTACAGAGCATAAAGTGGTTAGCTCTCAAAGCTATCTTATGCAATATGTGCAAACAAAAGGCATTGCTCAATTTAAGGGATCCCAGGGACTGAGATGTTCTAACACCTGGACCTGAGTACCTACTACACCCTAACAATGTGCTAGTAATTGAATAGTTCATTTACCCAGGGCTTAATTATTTAAATCATCTCTGCCACCCTGCTTCTCTCTTAGCTTCTTTCTGAACCCTTACTGAAATATTTAGTGTCTGGAGCTGATAATGTTCAAAAGAAGAAAATATATCAAACACTGAAATGGGTCAATTTTATTCCTGTCAAAATTAAAAGTGGGGTACAGAATGATAAAATTCATTTTTAACAAGTCCTTTATTTAACAGCAGTGGTTCTCAACTGAGGAAAATTTTGTTCCTGAGGAAAGCACATTTGACAGGGACACTCTGTGGTTTCACAACTGCTGGAGAGGGAGTTCTCTGTGATCTAGGGAGCAGAGGCACCAATATCCTATAATACACAAGACTGCCCCCATAGCAAAGCATGACCTGGCCCCAAGTGCTAATAGTCCTGTAATAGAGAAACCTTAAATGAGACAAACTTTTATGAAATGGGGAGCTAATTATCTGTATTTTACATATAAATAACTCTTGAGGAAGTTTTACATTTGAAACCCTACTTACATACCCGAGACCAGGATGAAAAGGAGTATACTTTCAATCTTGTGAAACCCATGGGCTCTTAATTCAACTTATACACATAAAAAACTGACACATTAGTTCAGAAACCTAACAATAAAACAAGGAATTTAAGAATACTGGAGTTTAGGGCGCCTGGGTGGCTCAGATGGTTAAGCGTCTGCCTTCAGCCCAGGTCATGATCCCAGGGTCCTGGGATTGAGTCCCGCATCGGGCTCCCTGCTCCTTGGGAGCCTGCTTCT